GGGGAGAGCTGGGAACACGGCCCAACTGTTTGCTTTCCCAGGGGGGATTAGAATGTGATCSCCTTGTAATCTCTCCTCCTGTTTCCTCCCAGCCCTTCCCCACGTCTCTCAGCAAACTTCGATCTGCTTTCTGTGATGATCAGATAGTTTCTATAATTTCTATAATTTTCTATAACTTCATGTGRAGAGCACAAATCATAAAGCATAGGATTCATGCTTCTTCTACCCAGCATCATTATTTATGTTGTATTGGGTCCCCATACTCCATTCCTTCCCACTGCCTCTACGATCCAGCCCGTTTATTTGTTCTTGTGTCGATGGTCATTTGGTCGCTTGCAGGTTTTGCCATTTCAGATGAGGCTGGTGTGAATTTTCTGGCATAGGCTTCTCCTTTTCTTTTGTGATTCCTCTCTTGGAGTGACCGCACTGTAGGAGAGGTGTACATTGAATATTTTTTTGGTGTGTGTGTGTGTGTGTGGTTCTGGGATGGAACCCAAGGTCACACTAGGCAAGCGCTCTACCTACCCCTGAGCCACACCCCAACCTCTGTACCCASTCATTTGGTGGGGTGGGTACTAAAGATGAAATCTTTAATAAAGATTCTCACCACATCCCCAGSCCTSTTTATTTTTTATGTRGAGACAGAGTCTAAGTTCCTCCCAGACCGGCCTTGAACCTGCCATCCTCTTGCCTCCGCCTACTGAGGCCCCGGGACCCCAGGTGTGAGCCGTGGCGCCCAGCTTGAAATTTTAAAGTCACTCTTGAATTATTTTTCAAAGGGATCGTACCATTTTAGGTTCCCCCCAGCACCTTCCGGGGTGTGCGACCAAGTTGGCGCTCTACACCAGAGGTCCTCAGAGATGGGGGTGACCCAGTGCCCTGCTCTGTCACAGTAAAGAACCCCAGGCCCAGGGAGGCGAGGACACACCCCCGTTGGAGAACCACAGAAGAGGTYGGGGAGGAGGTGACCTTCTCTCAGTCATGGCCAGGTCCACGGCTGGGGCCCCTGTGACGGAAACAGATCAGCTCACTGAGGAGTGACAGTTCCGTGGGACACGGAGACCTGGGAAAGGCAGACCCAAAGGTCTGGGTGTGTTTCTGCTCAGGTGGGAGGAGGGGGACAGTCATGCAGAAGTGCACATGGACAGAGCGCGCCTGCCAGGGGCACTCCCCAGCACCTCACAGAGGAATCCCTGAGACGCTTCCCTCCGGAGGTGAGGGCTTGTCTTCCTCTGGCCGCGTGTGGCCACCCTTTTTCTGGCGTGTTTAGAGGAYCATCGGGGACTCTTTCTGTGTCCATGTCTTGCTTTGCAGGACAAGGCCAGGGGGAGGCAGGGTGACCCTCCTCCCCTGGCCTCTCAAATGCCAGGCTGCCATACCTGGGGGCTTTAAGTGGTGAACAACGCATCCGGAGCTGAATCCATCGTGGCCCATTTCACCAGGTGGTAACCSGAGCCAGGGGCAGCTGCCCGGGGTCCGCCCTGCCCTGGCTTCGCCTCGTAGTTCTTCCGTTTCTCAGTCTCAGACGACCCAAGGACCAGTGCCCTCTTTATTTAAGGAACCACGGTTTACACTCCTTGCTGAATCACAGGGCCTGGTTGAGAGGAGTCAGATGACCCGAGAGCTTTCTATTCTTAACTTTCTCTCTGGCCCGGCTGCTGCAGCCTCCCGGAGCCTCTCTGGGGTAAAAATAAGCAGTGTTTGGTAATCCTGAGCTGTCAGGTGCTACTTAAATCAAAAGTACACCTGAACACAGCTAATTTGCCCTAATCACTGGCACCCACTGAGGATTAGCCCGTGGGGAAAACATTGTGTCGCAACTTCAGCCGCGCACTGCAGGACTGCGGCAGGCCCAGACGCAATTTTGAATTCTGAAATCTTTTTTTTTTTTTTTTTTTAATTTTGCGGTTGTAGATGGACAGAATGCCTTTATTTTATTTGTTTATTTTTATGTGTTACTGAGGATCAAACCCAGTGGCTCAGCATTGCTAGGCAAGCTCTCTGTCACTGAGCTAGAGCCCCAGCCCTTGAATTCTGAAATCTTCCTGGCCCCTGATACTGTGGTTTTCAAAGGAGAATCCTCTGAAGGGCTTGTTTAAACAGACTGCACCAGACGTGGTGCAGCTGCACWACTGTAATCCCGGTGGCTCGGGAGGCTGAGGCAGGAGGATCATAAGTTTGAGGCCAGCCTCAGCAATTTAKCGAGACCCTGTCTCAAAATAAATAATAAAAAGGGCGGGGGATGTAGTTCAATGATAAAGCACCCCTGAGTTCAATCCCTAGTATACAAACAAACAAAAACTAAAAAACAAACAAACAAAAAACCAGAAAAACAAAATTCAGATTTCCTGGTCTGTCCCTGGAGATTCTGGTTCCATTACCTGGGGAAGTGCCTGAGACTGTTCATTTCTAACAAGTTCTCAGATGGTGCTGATGCTGCTGGTCCAGASGCTGCATTCAGAGACTGTGTTCCCTGTTGCAACCTTACACAGTTGTCCCTCGGTATCTGCAGGGGAGGAGTTTCAGGAACCCTGGAGGAAATCAAGATCTTAGAATGCTCAAATGCCTTCTATAAAATGGCATGGTGTTTGTGTATGATCCACACACATCTTCTCCTCCCTATAGGTTTCATATAATGCTGTAGAACAATGCAAATGCTGTGTAAATAGTTGTTTTGCTGGATTGTTCAAAGCATAATGATCAGGAAAGAAGATTGGGTTGGGTGTGGTGGTGCGCACCCCTAATCCCAGAGACTGCAGGCTGAGGCAGGAGGATKCGAATTTGAAGCCAGCCTCAGCAACTGAGTGAGGCCCTATCTCAAAACAAAAAATAGAAAGGGCTAGCATGTAGCTCAGAGGTAGAATGCCCCTGGATTCAATCCCTAGGACCACACACAAAGCCAAACAAAGAAACAAAACACGCCCCTTCCCAAAGAAAACACCCCGACGTGTTCAGTCCAGATGTAATTGTCTTTTTTCAAACATTTCTCATTCTTGCTTGATGAACCGGTCACTGTGTCACTGTGGGTACGCAGGGCTGACTGTGTTTGCCAATTTAAAGTCATGTAAAGCAGGTGCGGTGGTGCACGCCTGTAATCCCTGTGTCTGGGGAGGCTGAGGCAGGAGGATCTCAGTTCAAAGCCAGCCTAGTGACTTAGTGAGGCCCTAAGCAACTCAGTGAGACTCTGTCTCTAAATAAAATGCATAAGAGGGCTGGGGGCGTGGTTAAGAGCCCTTGAGTTCAATCTCCAGGACCAAAAAAATAAATAARGTAAAATAAAGTCATGTGTGTCCGACTATAGCAGTGATCCTCACCGGAGGTGATTTTGCCCCCTAGGGTCATTTTTGGTCATCACAGGAGGAGAGGGTAGTGGGGGAGGCAGTGCTACTGCCTCCAGTGGACAGAAGCCCGGGATACTATCCAGCAAACCCAGCATGCAGGGCCAGGGCGGCCCCCACGGCAAGGAACTATCTGGCTCCAAATGTCAATAGGGCTGAACTTGAGAGGTCTTGAACCACAGGGACTGCTTCCATAAATTGGAATAATATCCTCAGAAATGATAAAGATATGTGTTCATGAAGAAGACCGCCTTCTTCTTAGAGGAGAAGCTTATTTGGGGCTCATGGTTTCAGAGTCTCAGTCCATAGATGGCCGACTCCATTGCTCTGTGTCTGAGTGGAAGACATCATGGCAGAAGGGGTGGTGGAGAAAAGCAACCAAGGGTATGATGATCAGGAAGCAGAGACACCTCTGAAGAATTTTCTAAATCTGGAGACATGTGCATGCTATGGTAGGGAGGATCTATCAGCGGGTGCACATCCTTTCCTCTGTCCTCTCTCATTACCTATGACTGCTGGGTTTGTGTGTGGGTTTACTGAGCTATCAGCTGTCTCTTTCCCAGGGAAAGATCCCGGGACACCCTGGGTGAGTGTGGAGTTGTTGGCAGACACTTGAATGTGCTGCAGTCTGGCTGGGCACAAATCACGAGCCACTCAAGCAGGAACAAACTTTATTTCTGAACTCCCCTGAACGACACCCACGCAGCCATTCCTGACACACCACACACCMACCGGAACTCCCTCCACCAGAACTTCACCAACCAACCGAACTCCCCAGGAATCCCCAGGAGAACTCCGAAGTAGCGGGCACCCAAGGCACCCGAGGGGGACAGCAGGGGTCTATATACAATTGAATACATAGCCTGTTTCAATCCAGCATCATCTTAATGGCTCGCCTCTCAACCATTACTTCTGGCAAAATGCCAGGGGCCATTCCGACTCSGCTGTGGCTCTCAACAWGAATGGGTGAACCAACGTCTTATARGTTAGTCCATGCTGGGCTGGTAAATGTTTGAYGACTGATCTCAGATTTGTAGAACCTGCCAATTTCCTTGGTGTCAATACTCCTCTGATGGTGGCTGACTTCAAGCCACCTCAGGATGTCCATGGGGCAGAGATGTGCACAACTCACAGTCCACACCCATAGCAGCGGGTTCCAGTCACCACAGGCAATAACTATGTAAATATAAAAGACGGGAAAGAACACCGCTGAAATGCTAGTGGTAGAGCAGAGGACGGTGCATAGATTAGGCTTAATATGAAATGAAGCTGGGTGCATGTCGAAATCCCAGTCACTGGGGAGGCTGAGGCAGGAGGATTACAAGTTTGAAGCCAGTCTCGGAAACTCAGTGAGGCCCTGTTTTAAAATTAGAAAAGGGGGTGGGGCTGGAGAYGGGGCTCAGTGGTAGAGCACCCTGGGGTTCAGTCCCCAGTACTGCAAAGAAAGAAAAAAGAAGACAGAAAAGGAATTGGGGGAGAAAGCCATTGGGCTAGTTTATGTTTTCCAAGGAAAGGTAGAATGATTTAGCCATTAATACGACACTGTTCCCAACTTCTGGTCTCACGCCAAATTCCTGGCCAAGAGAAYCAGCTCCAGGATTTTTGGTCCATTGAGGTGGGGAGAGGAATGATGCACACAAACAGTCTTGTGTAAACTTCGTGATGGGGCGGCTGAGGGGTGTGGGTGTTAAGGCTGTGGACCGCAGGCAGAGCCATGTGGAGTGTGCCCTGGACATCCTGCACASGTGTGACAGCGAATGAATGCACCTGGCGGCATGAATTCTGGGCTCTTCCACCCTGAGTTGTCAGGCAGTGGGAGAGAGCACCTTCCGCTACAAACCCTGCAGCCAGCCAGTCCTGTCCACACCTCCGAGGGCCCAGGACACAGGACCGTGGCTCGTGAACCTGGGTGGCTAGGCGTCTCCTGAGCCCCTGGCTTCTCAGAGCCTCCACACCCCCTCTCTCTTGCTGACCCCAGGGCTGGACTTGGCTTGGTTGCTTCACTTGGGGCAAAAACTGGTGACACATGGGAACCCTGGGCGGCCTATGGAGGGTCAAAGGTAGCRGTGTGTCTGAGCCAGGGCTGCTGCCCGCCCCCCACCAGGATGGAGCCGCATAAAACTGATGTAAGAAATCCCGTGAGACATGCAAGGGATCGCAAACGCGTTGGCACAAAAACTTGCACATGAGGCTCATAGCTCAGTGATAGAGCATTCATTATCACACCCAGGACCCTGGCCTCCATCCCAGCACCCTAGCAAACAAGAAAAAAGTGTTAAAAACTTGCTCARAAATACTCATAGCATCCTCACTGATAATAGCCAGAATGCGGACTGAACTCAAAAGTCCACTGACAGATGAATGGATGAACAAAGATGGTCTAACACACGATGCAATGTTAGTCACAAAGGAACACAACGTGCCGGGCTGTGGGTGTGACCGAAGGGAACAGCACTCSTCTGGCATGTGGGAGGCCCGGGGTTGATCCCCACTACCTTGCTAGTGTGTGCTTTTTTTTTGGTGGTACTGGGATTGAACCCAGGGGCACTTCACTTAATCACTGAGCCACACCCCCAGCCCTTTCTATTTTTCATTTTGAGACAGGGTCTCCATAAGTTGCTCAGGGCCTTGCTAAGTTGCTGAGTCCAGCCTCCAACTTGTGGTCCTCCTGCCTCAGCCTCCTGAGTTGTGATGTGTGCTCCTACGTGGTGGAAGCGCAAAACCATTACAATAAGGAAAAGAAGCCAGTCTCAAAAGGCCACATATCGCATGCTTCCAACTGTGGGAAATATCCAGAACCGGCAAATCCACAGAGGGGAAGTAGAGTCGGGGTGGCCAGAGGGGTTGGGGGGCTGGGGAATGACTGCTATTGGGTGTGTGGTTTCTTGTAWGGGTCATCAAAATGTTCTGGAATGAGATCATGGTGATGGTTGTACAATGTAATGGATTATTATTAAAATCACTGAACTACACACTTCAAAATGTCGAATTATGAAAGAAACTGAAATTGAGAAATGGAGAGAAATTGAGTTATATCTCAAAAAAAATGATCTTAGCAGGTTGCACTTTGTCCTCGTTGTACACAGGCTTGAAACTTATGGGCTGCTGTTTGTCCTCAAAACATGGCGTCCAGAGGTGACCCTGGGGATGGGGTGATGAGCAGACATGCTGTTGCTAGAAAAGGGATAAGCTTGGTCTTAAGTCCATTTTTTCTTTCTTTCTTTTTTTTTTTTTTTTTTTGGTGGTGTAACTGTATACTGTAGACTGAGTAATTAATAATTTAAAAAAAAGTTTAGCTGGGCATGGTGGCATGTGCCTGTAATCCCAGGGATTCAGGCGGCTGAGTCAGGAGGACTGTAAGTTTGGGGCCAACTTTAGGAATTTAGTGAGGCTCTAGATACCTTCGAAAGACCCTGTTTCAGAATGAAAAATAAAAAGGACTGAGATGCAACTCAGCTGTAAAACTCCGGATTCCATCCCTGGTACCAAATAAATAGATAGATAAATAAATAGATAAATAAATAAAGTGAAGGTTTACTTGGCTTACAGTTCCAGAACCTGACCAGTCTAAGAACAAGGCCCCAGAGTATGCTCAGCTGCTGGAGAGGAGTCCCGCGGGCCAGGGCAGGCTGAGGCATCACATGGTGAGACAGTGCAAGCCCAATTTTATAAACAGCTCCTCCTTCAACGACCCCTGAATCCATGAATTCATGGATGGATTAATCCTTTGGTGACGGCGAAGTCTTCACGATGCAATCATCTCCCAGAACCATCACTTTCAAATAACACTAACATATGAATTTGGAGATTAAGTCTCCAATCTAAGCATGTGAGGGACACATGCAAGACCTAGCAGGTTCCGTCCTGGATGGACTCTTCCTGTGGCAGGCCCCTACTCCTCGGGATTCACTCTGCCCCCGACTCCATGGCTTCTCCCTTAGCACCGGTAACTGACAGCTGCAGCCTTGCTCTGGTCATGACAAGAGCTCTACCTACTCAAGAGGTGGCCCAAAATGCTGGGAAATCACCATTACCCCTAACCTGGACCAGTAAGGGGCAGGACCCCAGCTCCCTAGCTCCTTGTATGGGGTGACACCGAGGTCCTCACTGGGACTGAGCTCCAGAGGCCCAGCTGTCACCTGCTCATCAACACAGCCTGTGTTGGGCCCTGTCCCTTCCTGCTGACGTTCCCACTGCAGGGTCACCTCCCAAACAAACTACTTGCCTTCACATCCTCGTCCCAGGTCTTGCGTCAGGGGAACCCAACCTGGCAACTGTTCTGCTCTCCATATTATTTGAAATTACTTTTTCTCGTAGATGATTAGTGCCTTCCTTATCAGAAATAGACACCTCAAGTCTTGAGAGCAGCAACAAGTCAAATCCAACTCTGGAAGCACTTTGCACTGAGGGAGAAGTGGAAGATATGTATCAAGTTCCTGCTGGTGGGGCGCTGTTAAGGGACATGTGACCAGAGCACAAAGCCACAGTGAAGCAGAGGCTTGAAGACACTTAAGAGAGTGAAGATGTCTCATTCAGCCTGTGAAGGTGCTGCAGAGAGAAATCAAGGTGAAGTAAGAGCATGTGACAAGAGCTGGGAGATGTTTTTAGACATCTTTGGGGGTATTTGAACAGAGACCTGAACAATAAGAATGAGCCCTCGGAGACTTGGACCCTTGGACTCGTGTTGTTAGCTTGGCTGGGAAGTGCTGTCCTGCTCCAGCAGCCTGGGCATCCCTGGGGCTGCTGAGAAACGCAGACCTGAGTGGAGCCTGCACTTGAATCCAAGGTCCGGGCTGGAGTTACTGCTCTTCTAGGAGGCCGGCCCCGGTCAGACAGTGTGGCTGTTGTGTGCATTCTGGTCTYGTTGCTAAGCTGATACTCCTGAGATGTCCAGTTGACCAGAGGAATTGAGCCTTCACATTTTGTTTTCGGAACTGGGCCACTTTTAGAACAAACTGCTTTCGGGAAAATCAAGAAATCATTTAAATGTTAGGAGTTGGGGCCCTGGAGAGAAAAAAAGGCAACTGTGAGGTTTTGGAAGAATACTCCAATCCACGCTCCAGGGAGTCACCCACACTGTGGCTACAAGTCTTTCAGAAAATGCACTTAATTGCCTGGGATGCAGCCCCAGATAGCCCTCGGAGTGAGCGATCCCATTGTTATCTKGTCTCAGAACTGGCAGCAACTTGCAGGCACAGTTCAACGCCTAGGACTGGCCAGGGACGGAACACACTGTTATCATGGCTAGAAGTTGAGTAAGCATAGTGGGCAAAGCAAAAGCAAAACAAACAACCTCAAATCCCTCCAAATTACGAAACATCACATTCATTTAGCAATCTGCAAATCACCCTGAGCTTTATGTACCGGAAAGAACTACGGATCGTGTTGAGTTTGTACAGAGACCTGACCACAGTTCCTTATGTAATATAGAGGTTTATTTTTGCCTACTTAAAAAAAGAATTAGAAAAAAAAAAGTCTAGAGGTAGGCAGCCCAGGGATGGCCACAGATTGGTTCACCAAGAACATCCTATTTCCCACTCCACCGCGTTAGCCCATGTTTCCTTCCTTAAGGTTACTTCATGGTCAAACATGGCTGCTGCAGCCTGGGATATCTTGTTTGTGTTCCAGGGAGCAGGAAGGAGGAAGTAGCAAGAGCAAGAGGGCAAGATRAGTCAGTTCCTTTTCAATACCTTTCCTGGAAGCTCCACCCAGTGACTTCCTCTTATTATTTCATCATCCTCTTTTAGCTGCAAGGGATGCTGGGAAATGTAGTCATTAGGCTGAGCATATTGTCCACTTAAAATCAGGTCCTGTTAGCAAAGAATRATGGTGGAATGGAAATTGAGAAGGCAGCTGGTAGACTCCATTCTGTGCATATTATCCCATAACGTGCTCAGTTTTTAGATGCCTTTGTGAAAATCTATTTCTCACATAAGATCTGAGATTCTTTGACACTTTTGGGTCAAAGRTTTTCTGCTCAGGGGTTGAGGGTATAACTCACTGGTAGAGAGTGTATGTAGCTCAAGGTCCTATGTTCTCATAGTCTCTTATCAATGAAAAAAGAAAAAAAATWTTTTTTTCAGTGCTGGAACCCAGGGTTTTGTGCTTGCTAGGCTAGTACTTTACCCCGGAGCCACTCCCCTCCTCCAAGAGTGTTCTAGAAGAAAACATCCTCTGTGCTCAGCTTCAGGCTGACTAGCTCCGATTTTCCTCACTGTCCTGGCTCACTGAAAGATCAGACTTGCCGGGAAATATGAGACTTCTCAGTGACCATGTTCATGCTTGCTCCTCTCCCCCAGAGCGTTGCACATAGCTGCCCCTTCCTGCTCTTTGCCTCTGGCCTTCCATCCTGGCCTCTACTCACTGCCTGGCCTTCCATCCTGGCTGTCCCACCTGTAAACTGTGTGGCTTCCTATGAGTTATTTAACTGATCATTTTTCTCACTTGTGAAAGGAGGCAGTTGGTGGGAACTGTGAGTAAAGTTTGTTTTCACTTTTTAAAAACGTATCGATGCAACCTTCATAATTGAACAAATTGTGAAAGAAGAAAATACATAAAAAGGGGATGAAACAAATTTTTGTGGTTATTCTTGTGATCATATAAAAAATCTGGTGTTTTAAGTGTGAATTGTCTTTTTGCATGTGTGAATGGTACTGGGGTATGGAACCCAGTGCTTCAACTTTGCGAGACAAGCGCTGTGCCACTGAGCTATACTCCCAGCCTGAAATATGGATCATTCTAAGATCA